ATTTTTAAAGATAGTTTTCCGATACAATGACAAGTTTGTCCTTGCGCTGCTATGATTTCTGTGTTTTTATTTTTAAATAATCGAAACCTATTAAAATTCTTCTTAAAAAAATATCACTCATAAAATTACCTTCTGCTCCTGTATCGATGAGGGCTTCTACTGGTACATCGCCAACCAGGACTTGTATAATTGGTAACTGTGAGTTCTTTACGATGACCGTATTTAAGTATCTTTTTGAGGGTTTTTTCAAAACTTCCGGGGTCTGGACCCTCGCTTTCACAGGCCCCTCTACTCGTTTAAAGCTTTCCTTTCAACTTCTGCCTTCTGGGTACGCGGACGGTTGTTTTCAAATTTCCTTTTTGGGCCTTGACCTTCGAGCTTCGATGAGTTAGCTTGATAGCTCTTTTCCCCATAAGAGCGGTTTGCATTTCTGGTCTGCTCATTTGAAGATTGCCTTCGGATACTTTGAGAATACGATGCCCCTCTAGCTTTTTCCGCTATTCTGCGATTTTGAAACTTGACCGCCAATTCGAAGAGCTCCTGCAATGTGCTTGGGTTTCTAATTTCGAAGTAGTCTTGAACAGCAGGTAACAATCTTGGTAAGATTATTTCAATAATCTCCGCGTCGGGTTTCTTGCCATACAGCATATCCGTCAGCTTAATTTTTCGCAGAATAAAGTCCGTCAACTCTTCTATATTCCGTTGATAAACTATATAGGTGACAGGTGACAGCAGCACAGGGCACCCGGACGGCTTTCTATGACTACTCGGGTATTACCCTGGCCCTGCAACCATCTAGACTTCACAGTTGTAAGACGCTTAACAGATGTGTGCTCAATACATGCCACGTTACATCTACAGTATTATATGTGAACTGTCCATTACTGTGCTAATAGCCTTTAACGACACGTCGGCTCGTGGATAACTAAAAACAGTTACATTTCCATACTACGGATACACATACCATTTCTGTCTTAGCTACTTTAGTAAGCTTTGAAAATCGTTATGCCAATTGTGTTTATTGCATGTGCCCTATTCCGGCCTGCAGAGGTCTATGCCCATTTTTCTAGCTTGTCCATTATGCTTTTAAGCTTTTGCCGCGTGCCTCGATGTTTTACGAGAAGGCGTTTGAAAGGCAGAACATTGGTGGTTGGGAATTTGATGTGCCATTCTGCTGTTAAGGGGCACTCCGTGACATAATGGTCTAGTGAGCCCAAGTTGTCACAAACACACATATCAGTTGTTGCTAGACCCCTTTCTGCAAAGTACGTCGGAAAGGGGGGGCCTTTGGCCTGCAGAAAGGGGTTAGCAACAATATATCGCGTGAGGTAGGGCGCTGAGATGAGCCGGTCCACCTCTACCTTGGGCAGGAACTCATATGCTCTGCGGCCTTGCGGGATTTGGTCCCATTCATTCTGCCAGTTTCCAATGGCGGACTCCTCTATTTGCCTCTTTAGGCATGACCGGGTGGCAGGGGCACCTGAATCTGCTCCGTTTCCTCATTTTGGGCAGCCTCCTTGGCAAGAGCGTCTGCTGCTTCATTTCCCTGGATTCCGGCGTGCGCTTCTTCACCAGGAAATTTGGATTTCTCATTGACTTTTCTTGTAGACGGAGGACTTCTTGTAGGTGCGAGATTAGGTGCGCGCTGGCTGAGAGGGTTGTTGATAGCATAAATGCTTGACAGGCTGTCAGTAAATATCGTAGCTCGACTCTGCCGTGTGTCAATTGCCCATTTCACTGCCTTTGTGAGGGCAACTACTTCCGCTTGGAACACTGAGTTCTGTGCGCCCAGACGGCCCTTCCATTCCTTTGCTATGTTTCCATTTATATAGGCTATATAGGCACTGCCTACAGCGTTATCAATTTTTGACCCGTCTGTATAAAGCACGGCTCCTGGTCCGTCTAAGCGCGGGGTTAACGCTGATGAGTGGAAAGTCCTTATGCCCAGTCCATATTCCGACGGATGTGTGCTTAGTTTGGACCTGCGTGTTTCGTACACTTCTGGCAGATAGCATGTATCCCCATATGTGCATAGCTGTGTTCGGCTTCTAGCCTTGCTCGATCTTTCACTATGGGGAAGGCCTTTAATAAATATTTTTTGAAATTTTCAAATGTACTCGTATATGTCTGGCCTCCGAATTCCCCTAATAAAAATTTGCCTATATTCTTCCACCATAGCGCGGCCTGTCCTCTTAGTGCAGATGTGGCGATGGCAACTTTTTGTCTTTCAGGCACAGGGTAGAGCTGGAAGTGATTTTCTAGGCCTTCTAGAAATATCGCCACCGAATTTTTTCCGTTGAAATTGACGTTTGGCTTTATTGACGCTCTCATCGTCTGGACCAGGTATCCAAATCCTTCCAATTGGCTTGCCATTTCTTGTTGTTGTCCCGCAGCTTCCATCCAATTTTCGACCATTTCAGTTCGACAAGTGTTCAGGCGCCAATGTAAAGTTGCGCGCTTCCAACCTGCACGCAACAAAGTGGTGACTGCTGAGAACTGGAAATAGACCAAAGTCTTGAGAAGGGTTTAAATCCCTTTTTATTCAACTTTAGAAATTACAAATGCGTGCTCTTGACGCTCACAAACTACGCCGACCCGGCGGTAAAATAAAAATAAGAAACTGAAAAGAGATAATAACAAGTGACTAACTACGAGGCTCTCTAAACGTAACTAACCTCACCGCGTTCTAAAATACCGCTGATAGTTCAGCAAACTTCTGAATATTACGTTGAAAAATTAACAAACTGCCGAGGCAAGCACACAGGCCGAAACGCGTGGTTCTTCGATTTTTAACTAGCACCTCCACGCTCGTGAAGCAAGAAAGCACACTTTCGAACTCGTTTCCTTTCTATTTAACTCAGAATACTTCCGCTGATAATTTGAATCCTTGCGCGTTCTACTAAAATTTACATACTCTGGCATTGGCAATTCCAGGGGAAAGTAAGGCTTGACAGGAAAGATAGTTTAAACTTAAAATAAATGTTAGTTAAAATAAATATAAACCCTACAAGTTAAATCCCCACTATTTGTGCCAGGTGAAATGGACGTGCACGGGAAAACATTTTAATATGGTATTACCTATACACAGTATAATTGTCTTAGCAAAGTGAGTATGCTTTACCAAATAAAACATTGCATTATGCCTTATGGCTAGATTAAATTGGGTTAATTGATTAAAGCAAAGTACAGGAAGATCTGTCTGACGGACGAAAGACTTTCTAAAGGAAATTGTCTCGTATTCACGTTACACAAATGTTCACGTTACGGAAATGTACGGAAAATCTCCTGCCAACTCATTCGCAGGTTTGATTTTCATTGAACTGCCAGCTGTCAGTGATCTTATCCACTTGGCTCATAAGATTGCTGACAGGGAAACATTGCGGAAGTTATACAATCTAATTATGTAATAAAGCAAAATAGAATGAAATGGTTTTGTCTTTAATTGCTCATTTGAATATGGAAAGGCACGCGAGGAAGAACTTCAGGGAGTTTCCTTGTGGATAGCTTTCTGAGGAAAACTAATTCGTGTTTACGATGGAGTAAATGATGAAAATAATCCATGCAGCAAATCAACTTTTCAAGTTGAATTACTACAGTTCAACAGTTTTATGTACTCGGCCACTGGTGGTTAATTCGATTAATAGATTAGGGTGAAGCACAAGAGGGATGTCTGCCTAAAAGAAGAGTTGTCTTCGGAGAGGGACTTTTTATCGAAGATCTGCACAGGGTTCGAACTACCAGTATTCAACGGTCTTACTTTCTCGACACTATGGAACCACCACACAAGAAAATATTCAAATAGTGTCACGAAGTGGTACACAATCATCTAATAGCAATGAATAAGCAGAAATACACCATGGAAGACAATGGGATTTTTGAACCACTGTAACCATTAAAGGCAGATGATAAAAAATTTAAGATTTTAGCTCTGATAATAAAAGCAGTATTATGTACCTAACTTTGAACATTATCTCCTAAGGAATAGTCACCTTGAAAAGCGATGCCATATTCCAGCACCCTTGCCCTTGCTTGAATGCAGCCTCGAAGTTATTTTGTATAAGCGAGTCTATAATCTTTTTTAGATTTGAGGTGGATCTTGGCAAACTATATTGTGTGAAAATGGTCTTCAAATGTATCTTACAGTCGGGGAAAGTAGGACGTCTGCATTAGTTAAATATGACGAGAAGAGCAGCTTTGGAAACAAAACATTCACGAGCGAGAAAGGTTTAGAGACAGGGTGTATTGTCCTTGTGGAAAATCCAGTATGCACGCTACATGTTCCAAGACCTTACGTTTGACCCATACTAATTGAATAACAGCGTCTCTAATTTCGTTGATCGCCTTTGATGCAAAAGTTTCAAATTCGCTTCACACTTTTGAGGGTGATGCTCTTGGAAGGTCTTTCAAATCGCTCATTGTTTTCAAGTGATGTTTTTCAGCCTTTGATGCGTCTCATTGTCGAAACGTGTTCCGTGCCTCTCGGGCTGTTTGCTCACTAAAGGTGGCTCAGTTTAACGTAGAATTCACGTTGTTAAAGGTGGCTCGTTGTTCCACCTTTCTAATCATGGTGATTAGAAACTATGCCATGTGTGTTAGCAGACTGACACACATACGTGATTATAATAACAACGCCACATTAATTCCTAATGTTAACACAGCTTTGGTTTTTGGCACACAGTCTTATCAAGAATGAGAGTCAGTATGGACCCTATCAGTACTTTATACTACTATTTCTTGGCACGCTACAGAGCTAGTCTGAGAACTTTTAATATATTAGTGCACATTTGCGCTCAAGTGTTATCAACTGTACGTCATCTAATATGTATGATTACCACAGTCATTGCCTTGACATAAGTATAATTATTTTGACGAACTTCCATCATCCTTGAGGATTTTGTTCTTTTTGGTGAATCTTAAAATGTCGCTATAACTTATAATTTGTCTTTTGTCTGAATAAATATATTATTGCTTTTCAGGTCCGAACAATTGGCCTATGATGTTTAAAAAGTGTGGAAGTGATAGGCAATCCCATCGATATAGAACCAGACGATTTAGATGTCAACCAAAATTTAGGCAAGTTCGATTTCGAGAACTATGAGAACGAGCTTGAAGATGCAAAGATCGAAAATAATGGACACACAAGTAAATAATTCTCTCTTTTTTATTATTGTTTTACTTAATGTGTATTGTGCTTTTTATTTGTTCTGAGTAATTTCAATATAGCAGAAAATTCTATTTGTCTTAAAACATGTTTTAATGGTGGCATGAGACCACCAATGATATTTTGAGCTCACGTGACACTGCCTAAATTTTCTGCAAAACAATTTCCTCATTTTCTGCGAACAATACTCATAAACTCTTAGGTGCATCTATGAAATTGCTATTGCCAAATGAATGATTTTATTTTTTCCACAAAACACAATCAATATTTTCTGCAAAATAAAACGTTTATCAATTACGACAAACTTCCTTTTATAAATGTACTTTGTTTTAAAAAAGTTTTCATTCTCAGGCAACTAAATTTTCAAAGCAAAATTTTAAATATTTCTATTATTTGACGCCTACTTTTGCATCTCAAAATATATGAACTAGCATCTTTTGTATTTGAACTATTAACACTTTAATCTTCGAACTAGGTGTATTATTTTCGCTAAACATAAAAAAAAAAAAAAAAAAAGAAACTGTCTTGGGAAAATTGGTGGATGAGAAGAGTACAAATAATCTAGAAGCATCCAAGGGTTGCCACAGCATGGAATTTGGGAACTTTTGCTTATTTTGTCAAACTTAATTCATTTTTTATTGCATAACAAACTGAACGACTTAAGAGCAACAAATGCTGTTCTCAGTAATTCAGATCTTTCTGTTATTTATTTAATAATCTAATTAACCGATGTAAACTGTAACATACTTATTTTGCAATGTGTAGTGCATCTACAAAGTTTTAGGCCTACTCTTACAAGAAAGTTGAGCAAAGCAAAATTCTAACTTCTTAGGCTTCAATAAACAGTTTGGCGGATGAAATGTTATAACGTTCACACAGGAGAATTTTTAATATCATAAACTGAATGTTAAAAACGCGTATTGTTGGACTTATCGGAGTTGAATGTAGCTGTTTCCAAATTGCCTATGAGCGATAAAAGTTAGTTTCAATTTAACGTCGGCGGCACTTTTTCAGTGAACTGTTGTTATTCGGACTTTTCGTTAACTGGACTGCGATCTTGCTTCTGGACATTTGTGATTTACTTTTCTTTGGATTATTCATTTTCGGAAGGGAATATGTAGAATCTGCTTTATACAGGTAAGTGATTATTGTTTTGGATGCATTTTTGATTTTGGTTATGACTGGATTTTAGACAGGAATATTTTTATTTTTGTTGAATTTTGATTGGCTTTTGCAAATAGGCTTAAATTAGTTTAAATATAGCATTTAGAAATTTTTTCTTGAATTTACTCTGTTAAAGGAAAGTAAGGACAGTAATGAGCAGCTTTCGCTTGAAGAGGAATTAGATTTCCCTTTTCTGACTAAATTCATAGATTTCTTATTTTCTACGACACCTGAACTCCTTCTTAAGCTTTAGAGTTTAAGCTTGAATACGATCAATTTACATCCTATATCTCTTAGTGACACTTTCATTAGTATTGAAGGAATGAATTGAAAAACTCTAGTAAAATACTTTAAGCGTCCTCATAGCCCTAACTCAATGGTTAATAATTCTATTGATATTGGAAGTACGTTTACTGCACTTGAAGACACTACGACTGCTGAACAAAATGAATCTATACATATCACCAAAGTTATGGGCAAAACAATGTCCAAAGCAAATAAAAAGGAATAAAGGATCAAAAACATATAAGGTTTATAAAAATTTTGGAGAGGACAACGAAGGAAATTTAACCATACCTAACTCGACAGCTGAACAAATTTTGATAATCATGTAAAGAGCGGGACGCAGATTGAGACTCCTCAGATAATAAGGATTAAGCCTCGGGAAATGTCTGCCCCCCTTCCGTCCAGCGAAAATCCACTTATTTCAGTCGTTGACTGCAAATATTCTCGGAAGGTTTTTATGGAAATTTTAGAAAAAGGAAATTATAAAGTTTCGTGATTTTTAGTAGCATCAAAGGTACGAAAACTCATTATAAAAATTATCGCTAGGTCTTTTAATTACAACAGAAACATATGAAGGTTGTAAAAGACCCTTTTATTTGACTCAAAGTTATAAGAAGGTACGACTGGCGCTTACAGAACAGCCAGCATTTATAGCTGAAATCAAAAGTAACGGATTTAACTAAATAAAATGTAAGTTAGTCCTACGGCTACAAAGAGAATCGCACAAGTTGACTCTGACCCGATGTCGGCGTTTCAAGACTAATGGCGAGAATAACGCAACGCCGCAGATATACTGCTGTCAAGAGAATCGATTAGCAAACGCTGCCTTCAGCAGGCGGAACACGCTCTGATTCTACTGTCTAAAACCTTCTTTTAAATACAATCTCCTTTCTCCGTCATTTGAATAGACTCTAGTCATTTGAAACTAGAAATTTGCATTCTGGCAGGAAAACGGAAAGCGAGAAAGACAGCAAAACAAATTTACGTAAAATTAACTAGTTAAAAAAACTAAACGAATCTTTATAAAATATTACTGAATTTAGTTCAAGTTAAGTGATAAAGGGTTCTTTGTTCTCAAGGTAGAGCAACTTATGTGACGACATAGAAGGGAGGTGGAAAAGTTTCTAATTACTGTTCCTTAAAATGAAGAACCTAGTAATATCTGTCATCTTAAGTAACTCATGATCGTAAATATTAAAATCAAGAGATACGCCGACATCCTGCAATTATTGTTCTTGATTTCCTGTATGAGATGTTTAATGCGATTTTAATGCTATATCGGTCTCCTGGAAGTTACGAAGGTAGGAGATAGTGGCTCCTGCATATCCCGGATAGTAATCCATGGGATTTCTTTTAATGGGATCTAATAGAGTTTATGCGGCTAAGGAGAGTAAGATCTTATAAAGGGACTGCTAGGATTTATGATCTTTTTCTTGTCCATTTCATCTTTATAAAATACAGAATTGACTGTCTACTCTTAAAGAAATCCTTTCTTGTAAATGAACCCTTTCTTATCAAATAAGGCCACCAAGAAGGTCTTTACTCTAGATTTCTGAAATGGAACTTACTGTGGCCGTGATAAATCTTGTCCTACCCAAGAAAACGATCGCAGTATTTTTAGAGGATCATAAACAAAATAAAATCACAATTTGTTTGAAGAAAATAAAAATTTAAATTAAATCTGCCGTTTGAATCATTATGCTGACATACAGAAATTCCATTTCTTTTCTGCTTTGCAGTCAATATTTGAGAAACAAAAAAACGAAAACGAATTTTTTCTACTTCCTTCTCCCGCCCCCCCCCAAAAATATCTTTCTGACAATTTTTTAGGAACAATTTTCGAACATTTTCTATTTTATGTTCCGCTCAAGAAGGCGAATAGAGACTGTTTCGGGGTTTATATCAAATCTTCGTCGTCATCGCGAGGATAGCGCGTAGTAGATCTTGTTAATGCTTAATTCCATTATACCCTACAAAAGATTTCAGATGTTTATATTACTGTTTTTCTCTGCTTTAGAGTAAACAATTATTACCATTCTTTGCTCATCTTTCGAATATATGATAGTAATTGTTCATTTGATTAAAACAAAATATTATCTATATACAAAATTCATTTCATAAACAGACGATATTTTGATAAAAGAAAGTTGAGATGTCATAGTAATAAATGCTGTTAACGATCGTTTGGCAAGTGTGTTGGAATTCGTTGAAAGAAATTAATACCTAAAACTTTGCAGATGCATTGTATATGGTGTTGTAGACGTATCTGGTTGTAGCGGAAGTTTTCAGTAAAATAAAGTTCTTAATAAAGTTAGAAAAAAAGCATGAAAGGCTGTACCAGTTGTACAAGTACTAATCACAACTAAAATCTGATTTTCTGCCAATGTTTGGGCAGCTTTTCAAAGCCTTCGGCCCAGAAATTTGGTGGCCGCGAGTCCAAAAACAGATCAACCTCATTTTGGACGTCCTGTGCTGGATGGAAGATAGCACCAGCAAGATCAAGCTGTAGGTGTGAAAGAAAGTAGAAGTCCGAAGACGCGATGTCGGGGTTAAAACATACCATTCGAGTCCGTACAATAATGTCCGTACAAAAGTCCATCCAATGAATGCAGACACATATGGTCTTGCATTATCTTGACGGAACATTACCTTTTTGCGCCGAAACTCAAATCCACGTTTTTCCTTGATATCAACGTCAAGCTTTTTCCAGATACTCTTTATGAATAATACCAAGCAATCCCACCAGATACAAAGTATGATCTTTTTGTTAGCCAAATTGTGCTTTGCAACGCTGCTGACAGGCTCACCAGGCGCAGAACAAGCCCGTTTTCGGCCTGTGTTGTTGATGTCAGCCCACTTTTCACAGTCACAAATGATGATCCGGTCCAGAATTTTGTCCTTGCATTGATATTCGAGCAGATTAGTGCAGGCTGAAACAAGTCTGTCTTTATCTGGTTGAGTCAGTCCATGCTGCACTCAGCGATTGAACTTGGACGTCAAGTTTATGCATAGCGCGATTGATGGACATGGCACTGTGGTGTTGTTGGCCGTGATCGTATAAAAGTAACGATACTAATCAAGTAAGAGTAACGATACTAATCAACTAAGAGTATCAAATGCGAATTAATTCCGCGCAAATAGTTAAACTAAAATTTAGTGGTTAGTACATTGCATGATCTTTAATAATAAGAATAAAATGACTTACCCAATAAGGCATGCATGAGTCAGTAGTTCTCTTTCAAATATACATTTATTAAATCACAAAACAAACTTTTCTTGATTAGCCTAGAATTATATACGTTACAAAAAAACAACATTCATGAATGCCTTTCAGCATGTCCTACTCGTTAGTCCTATGGGACTCTCACAGCGTTCATTTTCTTACTGTATACTGTAATTCCTAATCCTAAAGCATCGATGACACACTACTTATCAGCATCTTGCAAGAAGCTTAATTAATAGGCGGTACACTTATTCGCGAGAGAAGAGAGAAGATTTCTTGTAGATGTGCTTGAATTTGGCACACATGGTCGTCACTTCGAAAAATCCAGTTATCAGGATTATACACGTTGAATCACAGCACAGGAAAATTTTACCTCGCAGCATAACCAGTAAAGTTTACCTGAGTTCTTATATTAATTTATGCAGCTTTCTTAGTACAAGAACAGAAAAAAAAAGACAAATCCAGTCCTTCCAGTTTTTATCCACTGCGACGCACGTGGTAGGGCACGATAACGATTCAAGAATCGATAATGCCACCGTGTTCACTGTGAGAATTCTGTGTTCTCACAGGCACTAATGTCTAACTATTTAGCAAGCTCTCAAATGGTTGAATATTTATCTTCTCCCAAAGGTTCTCGCAGATGGGTCTCATCATCATCAGTAGGCCGGCCAAAGCGCTTTGCTTCTTGAATGTCATAGTCCTTGTTTTTGAACTTCCGGCACTAAACCTTCACAGTGTCATATTATACAACATTAGTACCTAAAGCCGTACACATGATTTGGTGACATCTGGATTCATTTTTGCAACAGAACTGGAAGTAAGTGATAGTTCTAATCTGGTAGCGTGATAGCTCTATTTGAGACACCTTGAACTTAATGATAATGATATTTTTTTATAAATTTCACAACATATTGTTCTAAAGGATGTCTCTTTCTTTCAAATGCTAAAAATCATTTGACAAAATGTGATTGAATATGCCATCGTAAACTGTTTGCGCAGAGGATATTTGTGGTGGGAGGAATCTTTCGTTAAATTCCGATATTTTATTTATTATGCCAAAGATATAAATTAATATCCCTTGCAAAATATTATTAAAAGAAAAACAGATAACGTTACTTTTAAATAACATATTTTGTTATTCTGATAAGAAATTTATTTTTATAATATGAAAACAGATGAATCATTTTGTTCTCATCGACTGGCAACAACGTCTGATCATGATTTATAGCTGACAAAATGTGAGAACAAGAATCGTCTTACTAGTCGAAACTACACCTCTACGGTAGATTGGTAAAATAGCCTTTTAATGTTTCACTCTTTATACTAATATGTATCTGGTAGAATTTTGGTCAGCAAATATGTTTTCTCTTTTTTAAATAACAGTTATATTGAGGCATCTTAAAATGGATTATTTTCTTCCAAGTCGGTGATTTTTTGTATTAAATAATTCTTATCTCTTTCAGTTCAAATAACTCCGGGAATCAAAGATGAAATATACTTCACGAAAGGTGGATTAGACGACAAGTACAAATTTCTACAACTTCATTTTCATTGGGGCTCTGACAGCAAGCAGGGATCAGAACACACTATTGATGGCGAGCGCTTTCCCATGGAGGTAAGAATAAATCGCTCATTGGGGTAAGTCCAGTGCTACTTGGATCACTAGGATACTACACGAACATGACAAAGATTAGTATATACCCCGGATCGGTAGTCCTTTCGAAGACTTGTAATGTTACGCCTGATGTTAATAGTATATTTTTTTAAGGTTTGGTTTGCTTAATTAATACAAGATAAAATAATAAATCAGTATTTAATTTAAATAATGAAAAATAGTGAAAACATAAAGCGCTAAAAATAAACTTTGCGTTAACTTCCATATGTCTTGGGGAATCTAGGCACCTTCTCTTGTTCATTTTTAGCCTTTTCTTTTTTCTAGATACTCCTTGAGACCCACACCGAAAATTAATCCTAAATCCCTTAAAAACTAGTAGACATAAAATTCTTACAACTTGCAACGAAATAGCATTCAGAAATGATGCTAATAAAACCGTGGAGCTGAATTCCACGTATGAAGTATTACAACTATATTACTGCATTGGCCAGATTTGAAACACAAACGAAAGAGAACACAAGTAATTAATATGTAATTCGTTTAAAATTTTCTCCCCAAGCAATCTCTGCATGGAATTTAGCGCTGGGAATTAAATAATTATAAACGATAAATGCAATAGAACAAAACTTCGGGACGGATGTACGCGCGTAAACACAGTTTAGTTCGGGACCTAAAATAGCGAAAGTTAAGGCGGGAAAACTGTTGTGTTTTGTATATGTGTGTACTTGTTTTCCAGGCTTGTATTTGGCATTCTACTCATATACCCGCTACAATAAAACTAAAGGCAAATTAACTTAACATTGTTCTTTTTTTGCAATGATATTATAATTGTTGTGCATGTAAATCTTCCAGATGCACTTGGTTCACATGAATATGAATTATAAAACAATGGAACGGGCGCAACGCAAAGAAGATGGACTTGCTGTGCTTGCAGTTCTGTTTGAAGTAAGTAACCACTTTTTAATTTACATCTTTTATTTTTAGTAATATTTTCTTACAATTCTATCCCGATTTAAGATTCTACATTTAACTTGCAGATCCGTATTTTTTTAAATCATACTTTTCATCAAATGACAGGTGTATTTCGAAATACATATTACTAGCGGAGTTATAATGTGTGCATTACAGTGAATGCTAGAATACACAGTTTTCCTTTAACAATTATGTACGTTACAGAAAAAAAAATTTCAAAAGTAAACCCTACAAAAAGATGATATTCTGTATGTCCAAAATGCCAACAGTTATTTCACCAGTGAGGTATTTATTTCGAAGTTACAGGAGCTTTTATTAACTAAAAATGGATTCTGCATGGGTGTCAAATTATCAGTTATGTATATTGTAGCTCTCAAAGTATGCTTGCAATACTTTCTGGGATTATGAAAACACACAACGCATCTACAACAGATTAGTTACTAAAGTAACTGTAAGTTATTTAACAAATTGGAACAAATCTATCAGATGATAATTGAGAACATTTATTATTATGATACCTTAACTCGCTTTTTTTAAATATCCTCTGCTTAGAGACAGAATGTATTATGCAGTTAATTGTTTGCTTTGATGCAGTGAAAATCGGCTGTCATGAATCAAGATGAACAACGAATAGTAATGAAGTCTGCTATAATGCCGGCGAAACAGCAGGAGAGATATTTGAAATATTGGTATAAAACATGCGGGGATCAAGTATTAACACGATGCAATATTCTTCTTTTGGTACGGAAACATTTCTTGGTTTGGTTTATTTAATTATGGCAAAGCACACTAGGGTTATCTGCATAAGGGGAAGGATGCGTTCGTGGAGGACTTTCTAAGGGGAACTGGCTCGTATACACGTTTCACATGGGGAAAACCACAAAAATGCCCATGCCGTCAGTCCATTCGCGGGATTCGAACCTCGGACCGAACTACCAGTGTTCAGGGACTTTACCGCTTGGCCGCTGGTGCACCTTAAAATTTTCTTGATAGGCGCGATAATGATAATGAATCCAGTAATCACCCTTCAGCGTATTAGAGCACAGAGGAAAAAAAATGACGGTATGAAGGTTGATCAGCTCAGCATTAGTAAAAATATTGTTCACCGAAATGTTGTGGAAAATCTTAAATTTTTTTTCATTTGCTCCTCCCGAGTTGACTGCAGAACAGAATGAACAGATTCCACGAAATGCCAGTATCCGCCAGTAATATTCCATATTAATCCTGCTCTTTTCAAATAAATTTTGACTGGAGATGAAACTTGAAGCCTTATTTATGACCCTGAAACAAACCGGCAATCATTCGTTTTAGTTGTAAAACGTTTGCTCATGCTACAGAAATTTTAGTTTCAAAAATCTCGAATAAAGACCATTTCGATGACTTTTTTTGATTGGAAAGCAATAATACAGAGGAAACGTTTTCCTGTGTGACAAAAAGTGAAGGACATGCTTCTGAAGAGAATTCAACTCTTCAGAATGTCTATAATGGACATGCTTCTGAAGAGAATTCAACGAGTTAGTCTTGAGAATTCTGACTAAGACCCCTATCCCCATTTACGAGATTGGCACCTGCAGTTTACTTTCTCTTTCCTAAAGTGGCATCTCACCACAAAAAAGTTACTCTAACACATTGAAGAGATCCAGAAAATCATAACCATAGATTTAAAACCGTATTCCAAAAGATGAGTTCCACGAAACTATCAAGCAACTTTATGAATGTGCAAAGCGTCTACAGACATAATAGGATCATATTTTAAGGCTAAAAAGTTAAAATGTTGCTTACTTCAGCTTTCAGTTTTTTACAAACTTAATTGTAGAATTCTGTAGATACACCATATATACGAAGATTCAAGAATTTCTACGCACGTAATTCTTATCAATCCAGTTATTCTCTGCTCATCTGGGCATCGCTTTTAGTATTATTTTAAATGTTTTGATTTTTTTTAAATCTCATATGTAAACTTGACTTGAATCTTATATGTGCTATGACTTCCTTGTGCGGCCTATTAAACTGTACACATTTTTTGCTGCATTTCATTTAAACTTATTTTTTTGAATTATTCTAATTTAATTAACCGATTCCTTAAGGCAAGCTGAAAATGACATCAACACTGCAAATTTTGAAACTAAATAATCCAGTCAAATTTTTCCGTACGGGAGTCAATCACATTTTTATTTTTTCATAACAAACATAAAACTTTCTCAAATATAAGTATAGGAACTAGGAAACCGCATTAAAAGCTAGATTTCATAATTTGCCCAAATTATTTTTTTTAAATTGACACTTCCAAAACAAATATTTTCGTTTATTTAAAAAGCTTCTGTTGTTGCTCTTGTGATTAATCGGTCTTTGCCTAAAATCAGATCAAGCCACGAAATTCTTCATAGCAAAGAGTTAAGATTCCGCTAGTCGTTCGCAAGGGACTTGGACAACATACAAGTAATAGTATGGCTTTCTCAGTTTTTTTTTTTTTTAAGCAATTTTGAAGAAGAGCACTCCGGGGAACGGGTCCTAGAATCTCTTACCCCTCTTTCCTTAACATCAACTTCTCGAGATGACTTTCGACTCGCCGCATATTTGAGTGTCCCCATGTCACACAGACACTATACAAGCATCCATGCTTCTAATACTGGGACCTATCCCCGAGTAGCTCATCAAAGTCGTAACGACGTTGCAAACTCGTAGCGGATGTCGTTGCAAAAACGTTGCAATATGTCGTCTTTAAGACGCCCAGATGTCCGCGAAACTCCACTTGTTTAGCCACCGTTGCAAAGACGTCTTTATTACGTCTTTGCAGATGAGGTTTTTGCCGCATAGACGTCGTTATTGCGTCTTTCGCAGGTGATATTTTAGTTGTGAAAGCATAGTTGTGCAAACATTTAGGCGTCCTAACAACGCCTAAATGTTTGCAAAATTCCACCTTTTTGCAACAGTTGTAAAAATGTCGTTATTATGTCCTTATGTTACATATTGATTTATTCAGAAAAATAAGTTTAATAATTAATGTATTTTTCTTCTTTTTAAAATTTGTATATTTTTTAAATTTAAAAATTTTATCATTTCCTGAAAACCAGAAGATAATATAATTTTTTCTCTTTAGACTAAATACGCATAATTAATAATAGCTTTAATTATTTTCAGTACTTTAAACTATAGTTTTTAAATTTCTCTTTAGACTAAATATGCACAATTAATAATAGCCTTAATTATTTTCAGTGCTTTAAACTATATTTTTTAAAGAACTTAAATTCTACGTAACGATTATTTAAGATTTCATCATTTTTTCCACTTAAGTGAGAGTAATTATGAAAGGGGTTATTTTAAATATGTAACATTAATAGTAGGTTTTAAGTAAATAAAACTCAATCAGACATAAATAAAAGTAAAGATATATATGCGGGTTGTTGTTGTCGTTACTAATCTCCATGTCTAGGAATATACTATATGAGGTCCACGAGTCCATTCACCTTCAGAAAATCGAAAACAAGCTTAAGACACTTGTAAAGGTCCTCAAGAGACAACTCAGGATAGGCACTAAGGCATATGTGCCGGTGATGCCGGTGCATTTTGACATTTATAACAAATTGGGTGCACCTTGAGACCTCTCTCAAAAGTAAGTCCTTTCAGGTGTTCATTGAAGAATCGGGAGAAAATGTTGTCTGAACACATCTATCGCAATCAATAGCAAGAGATCTTCCAGGACAATCAGCTTGATACCAGGGATGATTCGGGGGAACGAGCCTAATTTGCCTGTCTGCATGTCTTCTAATGTAATACAGTTCAAGATATGTCAATGAATTGGTAACTGGTACTGGTTCTTCAGAACCCTCCTTCGCCAGAATGTCTGCCATTTCATTCCCCCATATCAACATGGGAAGGAATCCACTGAAGGTACACTTCACAGAGTGACGAGACCTGCTTAAGCTTGCTAAGAATTGAAATTCCGGCCCTATCACCAATTCTTCGCCAGTTTGAAAGATATTGGATGGCGCTACGACTGTCAGACAAAAACTATACTGCTTTAAGATCTGTAAAGGACGGAACAGCGTTTAGTCCCTCTTCGATGGCTATAAGCTCACTCTTAAAAACCGAACTGAAGTCAGAATTTCTTTTCTTTATTTTAACAATATTTCCGTTTGACAACTCCACTACCGGAACGAGAGTCCTCGCTTTTACTCCCATCAGTATAAATAAGGGTAGCTTCGGAGGGAATTGCGTGTACAGTTTCTAACGCAGATTGTCGTAACAGAGCCGGAATATAATTTTTCTTGGAAACTCGAGACAAAAATTCCGTATGAAACTCGACTCTAGGGAGTCCCTCAGACAGAGCTAAACATTGTTTCAAGGAATGCTGCTCAATATTACGGTCAATTATACCAGCATACTCAATTTGACTAAGTGGGCTATTTTTCTTAAGTCTTTGGTTATTACTCCAGTGCTGCAGGAATTCTGAAGGTCTATTTTGGGAGCCATAACTAAAAAATTTATTATAATATTTTGCAAGGCCAGCATTTCTTCTTAGGCTAAGGGGTTGAAGGTCTGTTTCATACAACGCATTTTTATTCGGGCAACTGATGCGTAAGCCAGTTATAATACGAGAAGCACTAAGTTGGACCCTTTCCAATTTCTAGAGGTTGGTAGAAGAGGCACAACAGTAAACGCGGAAACCGTATTCCAAAATAGGTCGTATGATAGCTGAATAAGTAGTTCTCAAAGTGCAAGCATCGGCTTCCCAATCACGTCCCGAGATTTACTTTAAAATGTTTAGTCGTTTTCTGTCCCTAAAAACCAGTGCATCCGCATGTTTGTTACTAGTGATCTCTGGATCGAGAAAGAAGTCCAAATATTTGGAATGTTTGTCACACACAAGAGGCAAGTTATTCATAAAAACTTTTGGATGATAATTATAAAACTTCCTATTGGTGGTAAAAACTAACAACAGATTTAGTTGGATTAAAACTCAATTTGTGGTC